TCCCAGCCTCGCTCTCGGCAGACTACCAGGACGCGCTCGGCTGACCTGACAGGGACTCCCAGCCTCGCTCTCGGCCTGACAGGGACTCCCAGCCTCGCTCTCGGCAGACGTACCAGGGCACGCTCGGGCTGACAGGGACTCCCAGCCTCGCTCTCGGCGGACGTACCAGGACGCGCTCGGGCTGACAGGGACACCCAGCCTCGCTCTCGGCCTGACAGGGACTCCAAGCCTCGCTCTCGGCGGACGTACCAGGACGCGCTCGGGCTGACAGGGACTCCCAGCCTCGCTCTCGGCGGACGTACCAGGACGCGCTCGGGCTGACAGGGACTCCCAGCCTCGCTCTCGGCAGACGTACCAGGGCGCGCTCGGCCTGACAGGGACTCCCAGCCTCGCTCTCGGCATGACAGGGACTTCCAGCCTCACTCTCGGCAGACGTACCAGGGCGCGCTCGGCCTGGCAGGGACTCCCAGCCTCGCTCTCAGCCTGACAGGGACTCCCAGCCTCGCTCTCGGCAGACGTACCAGGGCATGCTCAAAGGAGCGCCTTGCCATCGAAGCCGTCACCATATAGGCGGACAGAGGACCGACTAAATAATCTGTAGTCTGCTCCTCCCGTCCGGCATACTCCAGCCATGGATGCCCTTCACGCCCCTCTCCCCCCCCCCCCCTGCCCGCTGCACTCGTTCTGGCCACGGCCCGGTGAGGATGACAGTAAGTTAACCTGCTTTGGTAACGGGCTGCGGGCCGCGGGACTGGACACGCGCTGAAGTTGGGGACGGGCTCACCCACTGGGAACGGGGATGGGTTCACCCGCCGAGGCCCAGGGACGAATACGCACACCGAGGCCAGCAGATAGGCACGCACCGTGCTAGGTGCCTTAAAGAGAGAATGTTCGGATTTCGACTTGACCTTTAACGCGCACAGGTGGGGGTGACGGTAATTTAACCCTGAAAGTTTTTCCGGAATAATTTGCAAACGACACGGTGCAGCAGCACCGAAATTTGCTCAGTTATCAGCAATTGTTTAGCGGATATGTTGGTATACAAAATGCCTTGTAAGGTCTCTGATCTATGGTAGGTCGAATGCAGGGCGTGGCTGCCAGCGAAGGTCATTCCTTGGAAATCTTTTCATCTGATGCGACAACTGAGTGGTAGACGAAGCTGTACACCTCAGAAATAGGCTTTTAGACAGTCAGACTACTGAATTAAAAGTTTCAACGAATTCCATGGAACTTAGGACAGGTCAAAAGATGAAACCGAGATCAAAACCGATCTGCCTTTTTATTAAAAGGCTTTTTACGGTGCAGTCCTGGTAGTCATTTTGAAATTTCTTGATAACAGCGACGGAAACATAAATCCTCATTGGACTTCGTAAGGGTCGGAGGAGGTTCACTGACCTAAAATGATCAAACTAACCTCTGTTTTAGAAACACCCTGCCCATCGTAATCCTTGCGGCTCATTCACATTAAAAGGTTAAAACACCCTGCAAGGTTTTTGGACCTCTTACCTTCTAAAGGTCAAACATGAATTGAAATGAAATGAACACAGTGGCTTTTGCTAAGAACAAGTATCTAGGTCCAAGGCGGTTGGATAAGGAAATCTGGGACGCTTTGGACTCCCATGTAGAGTTGGACCTTGTTTGACTTTATCTGGTCCGAAGGTGATAACCTAGGAACCTCAAGTTATGACACAAGTAGTCCACACAAATGTTGACCCAGTCGGTGGTTTTTGATGCCGTAAGCTCGCTTGGTTTCTCAGATACCGGGGACAAACGCCCCACCCCCCCCCCCGCTCGAGCGCGTGCTATTGAACCGGCAACCCGGTTACGTGTTAATGCAGTACGCTTCAGACGAGATCGTTGCAGTTGGTTCTGAAACTGGAGAAAGGAAGTGATGCATTCGTTGGAACGATGCCGGATTGAATGCAGGTTGCAAGGAACCGCAATCAAGGGATCTAATAATTCCCGTGTGCTCCAATCGCATCGATACAAATTCCTGCTAGCATTCCGCATTCAGTACGGACTTGGGTCGTAGTGTTCGGAGCGGCATTCGGTACGGACTTGGCGTAGTTCGGAGCAGCGTTCGGTACGGACTTGACGTAGTGTTCGGAGCGGCATTCGGTACGGACTTGGCGCAGTGTTCGGAGCGACATTCGGTACGGACTTGGCTTGGCGTAGTGTTCGGAGCGGCATTCGGTACGGACTTGACGTTAGTGTGCGGAGCGGCATTCGGTACGGACTTGGCGTAGTGTTCGGAGCGGTATTCGGTACGGACTGGCGCGTAGTGTGCGGAGCGGCATTCGGTACGGACTTGGGGTAGTGTTCGGAGCGGTATTCGGTACGGACTTGGGGTAGTGTTCGGAGCGGTATTCGGTACGGACTTGGGTTAGTGTTCGGAGCGGTATCGGTACGGACTTGGCGTAGTGTTCGGAGCGGTATTCGGTACGGACTTGGCGTAGTGTGCGGAGCGCATTCGGTACGGACTTGGGGTAGTGTTCGGAGCGGTATTCGGTACGGACTTGGGGTAGTGTTCGCGAGCGGTATTCGGTACGGACTTGGGTAGTGTCGGAGCGGTATCGGTAAGGACTTGGGTAGTGTTCGGAGCGGTATTCGGTACGGACTTGGGGTAGTGTTCGGAGCGGATGCCTACCCTGACGCAGGAGCCTGCTAATTGCCTTATTTCTGGTCACCGACTGGAGCACGCCATTTCCAATTAGTAAGACACGAACAAAGGACGTCCTAGATAT